GGGCTAGAAAGTGAAATGGTGCTTACTGATAGCTAGCGGGAGGAAGAAGACCTATGAGGTGTACAGAAACTGCTTCAAACGTGGATATTTAATTCTTAAATGTCTATTCAATGGGCAACATTGAATAGTACACCTTTCTCGACACATATAATTGCATCCATTTTTCTCGCATCAAAATCCTTCATTCATGACTTTAACAAATTTACTCATTTGTTTTAGCTCATAATATACATAAAGTTGTTATTGAATTATAATACAATCACTAACAATAAAACAACATGTCATTTTTTTAAATGCCTGTAAGTGCTTATGGCTACAAAGTTTCACTCTGAAAAATAAGGTTTCCAGAGAAGAGTGATTGCAGAGATGTAACAATGTAACACCACAAAAGAGGAAAGGGACCACCAGGGATGGACGGGTTAAAGCTGGCCAAAAAGATGGGAAATGTTTTTTAAACAAGCAAGACAAAAACTAAACTATATGCCAAAGATTCATTTGGGTGTTAAAGTGATTTGCCAGCTCAAAGGAATGATTACTATAAAACAAAGATAAGGGGTATTTATTTAGGGGAGAGGTGTGTGGTTCAGACGAGGCTGTATGGAAATAGTAACGTTCTGTTTTATTCGCTTTGTGTAGTTTTCTAGGTCTTCATGTTGTTTGAATAATAAAAGATGACATGATTAAGCATCTAAATCTTTTTGAAACCTGGTCTCTTGTAGCCCAGGATGACCTTGAACTTCTGGACTTCCTGTCACCGTCTCCTGAGTGCTGGGATTATGAAAGTGTGCCACCATGGCTGCTGGTTTTTATTCAGCGACGGGGCTCGAATCCAGGACTCTGCGCAAGCACTCTGACAGCTGAGCTATGTCCCCAGCCCTCAAGTGTTGACTTCTGACTAGCATTTTATTATCTAGATTCTCTTGTCTACCATGCACAATCTCATCCTACAATTCAGCTGCACGATTTGCTTTATGTCCGGTCTTTATTCTTAGGTATGCATAAGTTACATTCCTAAAATCTCTGTTACTTATTTCCATGTCCAAGGTGAGCTTCATAAAGATTGGTTTTAGTGGCTGCCTAAAGGCTTTTCATCTATGGCTCGGCTTCTGGGCTATGCTCATGCCTATAGATGATACCTGCTAGACTCTGCTGTTTTAATTACATAGTATACTTAAATGCAAAAAAAAAAACAAACCAAGAGATTGTATTTTATATTGTATTACAGTGAGATATTTGGCCGTCCAATGTTGAAGTCATGGAGACCCATAGTTTTATACAAGACAAAGAAGAAATAAGGGCCAAGTCTGGGTTGGTTCAGCCTCGTAGCTATTCCACACAAAAGGACATGATCTCACAAGGCTAGTTATAAACTCAAGTCCTGGATTTGTTATCAGTGGAGTTATCTGGTTCTACAGGAAGAGCTAACCATCTTAACCAAGCAAGGCAGGTATCTGTCATCTCCTACTGACAGAGCACAGGTGGGCAAACACAGAGCAATTAATTGCCCTCTCTACTTATCCCAGCATGTATGTATAGTATACCACATATGCCCAGATGAGTGCCAATTATTTCCTGGTGGCCCAGGAGGAGACTAATGGCAGAGATGAGAAATTCGAGAGTTTCTGATTCAGGATTCTAAGAGATTCAGCTCTGCCTGGCAGCTCATTCATTCAGTCATCCCACAAATACTTACTAAACTCCCAATGCATGGACAACACACACAATCTTCTTGGTGTGTGACTATATACAGACATCCGCTACTGGTTTCTAAGAATTTCATACCAGTTTCTCCAGTTGCTTCCTGCTGCGTGTTGTGAGTAACTGAGTTGATAATGTTATGCCATCTCTCTATCTATCTATCTATCTATCATCTATCACCTACTGATCATTGTATCTATCATCTCTATCTATTATATATCTTTCCATCTATCATATCTATCTACCGATCATATCTATCTAGCTATCATTTATCCATCCATCTATCATATCTGTCTATCCATCTATCCATCTATCAACTGGCTATCTAACTTACTATTTATTCTTTTATTTTGGCTTGCTATATACTTCACAATCTCACTCCTTCAAAACCAAAGCTAGAGAAGTTCCTATCTTTGTGGACAGTCCCTTCACCTTCTTTTCCTGGCTCTAGCAGCCCAGACTAGAGGGGCCCCCACTCTACACGGGGCTGTCTTTGTTCAATACGCTTGGAAGCACAAGTGAGCTCTGTATTGCCACCCTTTCTGCAGGGTAGCTGGGGCGCCTAGAAGCTACTCTCGCAGCCTTGTGCAGCCCCAGGACCGCCCAAAGCACCAGCCATGAGCTTTGTTCCTCGAGCGTCTCGAGAAAAACCTTTGATTTCATGGGGATGATTATTTTTATTCTTGCCCACTCAAGGATGAAGCCCAAGGAACAAGAGGTTCCCCCTTTCAGAGGCATCACAATGGCTTACCTCCAGCCAAACCCATGGGTTTTTGTTTTTTGTTATTTCTGGGTTTGGTTGGGCCTCTCTTGGAAACCATTACTATACAACTTACTTAAAGAAAGAGCGGGAGGATTGGGTCTAAGAAACTCAGACGGGGAGGGGGTAGAGTTGAAGGGGGTGGGTGTGGAGCCCAGCAGCTGGGGCAGGGGGGGGGGGAGTATGTCATCAGAAAAAGTGGGACAAGAGCACATTAATGTCACCATGCAATCTGAATTGATTCCATTTTGTAGCGATGTTTTCAGTCTATTACAAAGATGAAATATTCCAAGATTGACTTTTGGAGATGCCTAAAGAATTGGGACTTTGCATGAAATTTTCAGAAGAAGAAAGACAACACACACACACACACACACACACACACACACACACACACACACACACAGAAAGAAAGGGAAGGGTGACTTTTATCCTAAAGTCATTGTAAATCCAAAGCAGGCTTTTATCCTCCACAGTTAAATAAGAAGGAAAGAAAAAAATCACGAATACCAACATTTGAGGTACAAAGACTGTCATGGACCAGTGGAAGTTTGCAAAATTATATGTAAATGACGCCCCCCCTTTTTTACTGTGTGGCCGTGTGCACTCCAAAGCTAATCCTAAAGAGAAAATCTACTTAGCAAAAGAAAGTTTTGTCTAATTTGGTTAACAGTTGAGAACTGACAAAAATGTTGAATATATTAATAATTTATATTTCCAGGGTAACCCTATATCTTTAATGCTTCACTGCCAAGGGGAATTCAGAATGGCTTAATGCCCGAGGTGGAGGGGGGAGGGCTACATTTGAAAGGCTTTCTTCATATTCTGTATCCAGCTCTGTTGAAAATGGGTGTAAGACATGTGTTGCAATAATGGGAACCGTCCATTCTCTCATTTCTGCATAATTCATTTTTATCCCATATTGCCCCATGTGCACTTGCTGCCCAGGAAGGCCTCCTGCTTCCCTAAGCGTTCACACTCCGGCTCTTACCAGTTCGTAGGGAGGAAGACAGTTCATGTTTCATAGACACATCATTTCAAGAACCTCCTCTCTGCAAGATCCTTACTAAAATGTAAAGGTCCCCCCACCCCCACCCACCCCCATTGTATATACATTGCAATGTGATGAAAGGTTTTGTTTGCCTCTGTGGCATGAAGTTTAATGGTCTACAAACGACAGGTCATCTCATTTCATGACCTTGGTAAACAGAGTAGGTCAGACCTCTGGCAGGCCCTCCCTTAAACTTTGTGTGAGAAAGGAAATAAGTCAATTTACTACTCTCCAACTAATCGGGGAGAAAAGTCACCTTACCCTCCTTCAGCTAAATGACTCTTAGAAACAGGAAAACGGTGCTACACAACATTAAATTATTTGTTTAAAGGGCGCCAATGTTAACAGGACCAGTATTCAAACAGGGGGAAAAATCAATGATGGAAAAAAAAAATCAGTTTTCACTCTCTGACCTGGCAGATGCTTTATTTTGCCTGTTGATATAAAACAACATGGAAGTCAGTTTTTCTGTTTGGATCTTAGAAAAATGGGAGTGTGGTCTGTTATTTTAAATGTGCCATTATTTTGTAGACAAAGCCCACACCCCCTGGAAGTGAAAACCACACGATTTCTCGAAGAATCAGTCTTTTGCAAAACCACAAATGCCTGGAAAATAACCGACCAAGTCCTCCTGGACACATTTCTCACCACGCTCTGCACGGAGGGAGAGGAAAACCAAAATTTCCGCCTAGAGAAGGGCTGAACCTTTCTCCCCAGACCTGAGAGCTGCAACAGAGGACCCAGCTTTTGGATCCAGTGCCGGCGTCATCAGGGGAGTCCCGGGGGATCGTGTCTTCCACCCAGATATGTGCTGGCTTCTTCTAAGCCAGCCTAGAGCCCTCCCTCCCCGCCCCCGCAGCCCGGTGGATATGTGCGTAAAAGGCAATGCCCTCTTCCCTGAATCCTCTGATGTCCGGTGATTGTCATCCGAAGGAAGAAAACAAACTACGAATGTTGTTTCTAAGACATAACTTAGAATGTTATTTGCTTCACTCACTCATTTTTTTTTAACACGGAGACTTAATGAAGCTGTGAACTCAGCTACTCATTAGGCGGGCCTGGGGTTTGCGGTTTCCTAAACCAGTGGTTTGTGTGAGGTCGCCTTGAGGTAAGAAGGGCCTCCAGGTCCCAGCTAGCACAAGCTGGCCCAAACTAGGGCTTGTCTTTTGATTTGCATATTCTGAGAATCTAAGGCCCGGTTCCAGGCTTCTGCACTTCTCAGAGGCAAAAGGAGGGTCCGGCGCGAGCACCCCAGGAGCCCTGTCTCCTACCCCTAAAGGACGCCTCTAATGTCAGCTTAAGCTTCCATTTATCCTCCCTCTGCCTCAGACTCCCGCAAAGGTCCTCCTCCTCTGCCACACTGCTGAATGTTATCATCTGGACTCCTAGCAGCCGCATGTTTCCTTCTAAGACACTTGGCGTGGATGGTTTGTGGATGAGCAGAAGGTAACAAAGAACTCCATTTGGGGGTCTTTAGCACAAAGTGTTTATTGTCGGGGAGGTCCTTCAGAAGGCTAATTGGCTCTTGGCGCTCTCCCATCCAGTTTTTGTTGGCACGCTATTTACACATGTACAACATATACAGGGTTTGTCTCAAGCCACCACCAAACCACAAAGTAATCTAGGCAGTGGGTGGGTGTCAGAGCACGGGAGGGTGCTGGGGCGTGTGCAGGTTGAGGGCGTTGGGATGGGCATGGCCGATCAGATTGAGGTAATGCCGGTCCAGGCCCTGCATCGAAGCCAAGAAGGGGCTGTGCTGCTGCGCGGGGCTGGGGAGAGGTACCGGCGGCGCGCTGGACAAGTAAGACAGGGCTGGACTGCGGGCCGCGCCATGAGGCCAAGGCAGTGACCCCGGAGTAGCCCCCTGCGGGAACACGGTGGCCTCGCCCGGGCTGTGGCCTGCGAACTCTGGGCCCGCGGGATAGGAGAAATCCGGTTCCGGGAGCGAGAGCGGCGGGAAGGCGGGCTCCGAGCCCAGACGCGCCTTAGATTGCAGGAAGGCGAGGATGCGCGCGTACTTGGTGTCTTTGGTCTCCATCCGCTCCACCGTGGTGAGGTAATGCACCAGGTTCTTCATGCACTCGTGGTAACCGTAGTGGAAATAGTTGGCAAACTCTGCTAAAAGCTCTGCTGGGTTGGCAAGAAAGATGGTAGGAGGAAGGAAAGAAAAACAGAATGAGTACATCCGTTCCCAGAAGGGTGGGGGACATCTCCATACCGTTTGGGCTAGATTGCCATCTGAGGCTCGCACTCTCCTCTCCTCAGTCTGGAAAAGCTCAAGCCGGAACCTCGGCTCCCTAGGAGCCTGACTACATCCCTGCCCCCACCAAACCCCACCGGAGAAGAGCAATAGACCTGCATCTTTAGATGCTCCTCCTCGGCACCTAGCAGGTGCATTCTCAGGACAGGCCCTGGCTGCTTCGCTCTAGCCGACCTCTCCAGGCCAGGACTCTCCTTCGCTCCCAGGCCCCAGGTCCCCGCGTGGCGCAAGCTCCCCGCCCAGGTTTCCTTTGCCCGAGTCATCGCCCACCTTTTTCCCTTCCCCGGGGAAAATCCGCAGAGTGCAGAGCTCGGAGGTACTGAACGGTCATCTCCAGGATCTCCGCCTTCTCCAGTTTCCCGGAACTCTGCAATTGGAGAAAGGAAGCTCTCGGTGGCCCACCCGTGGCAGAGACACGCAGCTGCTGAGCCGCACTGTCTTCTGCAGAGGACCAGCCAGGACGATGCCGGCACCAGAGCAGCAAGAGCTCAGGTCCCCGGAGCTGAGGGGCGAGTTCCCTAAGGCCAGCTGTGGCTGCAGAGGCTTGGGGGCCCCACAGAGAGGGACAGTGGAGAGTTCCTAGCACCGCAAACGTTACCTGTTTCGCCAGGGCCATGGGGACTGTCTTGCCCAGCTCGTTCAAGCAGCGGTTGATTCGGTCCCTCCTCCGCTTTTCTATCACTTTATGAGAAACCGGGGTCCTCTGTAAACAGAAGTTTTTACTTTTAGGGTGACTTTGCCCAGGGAGAAATTCCAAGGCTGTGTGCCACAGGGGGTTCGCTAATTCGCCAACCCTCACCAGACCTGCCAGCCTTACTAGACCTAGAAAGCTCTGTCCCCAGGATGCCGGGCTGGCGCGCTTGCCTTTTCAGCCTCCCTACACATCCCTGCCACTCAACCGAGCTAAGTGCCAGGGCTTTGAGGAGGTGGCCAACCAACCGTCTAGGGTGAGCGTCTCCTCAACTGAGGACTCTCCTTTCTCTGTCTCTGCCCCCTTTCCAAACCGCTTTGAATTCCTCCACACTTAAAAAAAGTCCTGTGTGGCATGGCACATCTTTGTCATCGATCCAGCCAGGTGGCCGGTTGGTGAGTCACACTCTTCCACCACCAGAGCGCAAGGACTCACTTTGCGTTCCTTGAGCCTGTCTGACATCCTGGTCTGCGTGCGCCCTCGGCAGAGGCGGTGGCGCGAGGCCCTGGTCCACGTTCCACCTCGTGTGCCTCTTTGAATGTCCCAGGTAGACTGCAGCCTCCCAGGTCCGAGGGGGCTGCCTTTATAAAGCAGTCATCTAAGGCTGCCAAGTGCATTCTCACGAGTTGAATTATTCCATAGGATTAGGGATTCTGCGTTTGGAGCATGTATGCATTCAAGGTCAGTTTTAAAGAAGCTAAGAAAAAAAAAAATTAGCAGCCGAGGGGGGCGAGCTGGGGGCAGATCAGCTTTGTTAATCCACGTGGCTCTTCAAAGGACACGTGATCCATCGGGGAATAACATTTGCATGGGAACAGCCACCTCGGGAAAAGGAAGCGAGAAACTGGAGCCGGAGGAGCCGCGAGCGCCTGCAGCCGTAGCAGGCGCAGAGTGCAGGGGCGCAGTGGCTGCGGGCACCGGGGGGCGAGGACCCTCACAAAACAGTGTCGCTTCCTTTAGTCCCACCGCTGAGTCTCACACGATCGCTGTTTACAAATCCCAGCAAGCCCGCCGTCCCAGCGCCGAGTGCGTTTTAAAGCCTGTCCAGAGTCATTAAAGTAATTAAGTAAGCCTTTAATAGGCTGTTCCGCCGGGTTCAAGGGAGAGCTCCTGGAGACGGAGGCGCCCCGTTTGTTCCCAGGCTTTTCTCACACGACTTGGTGACACGTCCATCTCCCCCCTTTTTGTTTACACCGCTTTATTTGTCCGGACATCCCGGCAGGTGTGGGGCTGCGGCTGGCACACGAGGCTCCCGGCTCGCTTCGCCCCTCCCGCGGGCCTTTGGCACGCGACTCTCCCCCCTAGTCCCTGACCAAGTCGTCTGCTTCTTTCTTTTCTCCCCCCTCCCCCGGCTCTCTTTTCGCGGGGAGGAGGGGGGAGATGCTCAATTTGTAGCCTATTATCCTATAGGAAAATGTCCATTGAAAAGTATGAATAGTTTCATTGGGCTAAATTTTAATAATGCCAGGGATGGGGTGGAGGAGAAACAGGCGTGTGTGTGTGTGTGTGTGTGTGTGTGTGTGTGTGTGTGTGTGTGAGGGGGGTGGGAGGATTGGGGGGCAACACGGAGGAGAGTGGGTCGAGAAGAAAAGGGGGAATGCAGCTGGCCCAGGCGAGCATTATGCGACGTCACCTGCGTGAGGGGGCGCCTACAGACCCCTATTCATTTGCCTAATTTTGGTCAATTTAACAAACTTCAGGAGAAATTATTGTGGCTTTGTCAGGGAGGGTGAAGCCTTCTGATCGAATTAACAGCATGTTTTGATCCGGTAAATGTCATTAGAAAGGGAGAAACAATCGCGCTTAGAGGGCTCTGGGTAATGCGCCCAAGTGGAGACGCCAAAGCGCACAGCTTACAAAGGAAGCAAGTAGCTGCCACAGGGAACTTTTGTACCCGCCCATCGCCCAAGTTTTGACACAAAAAGGCATTATTTCATACTTGAATACGTTTAATCCAACGATTGTCTATTTTTTGCAAACATATTTTCACAGCATTGTTAACTTTTTATGTCCCCCTCTCGCGGGCGCCTTTCTTAACGTTTGGGGGCGGGAGAGCGCAGACACTTTGGGCATCAATATTTGTCACTGAAAAGGGCCCCGTGAAGTTAGGGAAGTTGATCTCTTTTTTATGGTTTTAGAAAGCGAAAATATCTGGGGGGAGGAGGAGGGAGGGAAGACAGGGACAGAAACCCAGAAGGAAATTTGCTGGACGGGCCCAATGGGAAGGAGGGGGTGGTGGCTCCTGGGAACTCTCCGCCCGCTGCGCCTCTGCCTAGAGCCTGGTCCTCAGCCCCAGGCCTCCATCCACCAACCTCTGGATGCCGCCTCCGGGAGTGTGTGGTGGTGGGGTCGGGGTGTGTGTGTGTGTGTGTGTGTGTGTGTGTGTGTGTGTGTGTGTGTGTGAAATTTCCTGCAGATGAAAACAATAAAACAATCTTGAAAACAGTAAAAGTGATCTTTGTCTTAAGACTTATTCTGGAGCCACGGAGTTCTAGCCTGTTCCTAATCTTCAGAAGCTCGGAACAAGAAGAACCTTCCTTCCGGTGTCTCTCCAGTCCTTTTGCCCCACACCACCTACTGCTAGACAACAGCAGGCCCAAGGCTTATCCCTTTGGATGAGTCCTTGCCAGAGGTGGGTAGGGTGGATCCCTGCTTCCTGGCAGCACCTGGGAAGCTCCAGGGCGCAGAGCCTCTAGGAAGCAGCCGCCAACTCTCTGGTGCCTGGAGGCTGTGGGAATCAGTCCGCACCCAGCACACTAGGGAGCCCCAGTTTTGGTCGTCGGTTTTTGTTGTTTGTTTTCTTTTTCTTTTTCGACTTCCTTCATGTCAGATTGGATGGGACCCGCACCTTCTAGCAGGTTGCTTTGCCAGCCGCGTGCTCTCTTTAGGGTTGTCAGTCTTAGTATATTCACTGGCACACAAAGGGATTAAACAGGAACCCTTATCGTCCAAATCAGCTAACTTGAATGGGTAAAAGGGAGCGCGCACTTCTCGCCCCCCCCTTTTTTTTTGCCAGCCGACTCGGAGTTGATCCTCTTACTGCTGGTGTTAACTCCAGCTGCAGGCACGTTCCTCAAGCCAAATTTCATTCCATGCAAGCTGTTTAATTTTTCCTGGCTTGATGTCGGCCAGGGACGGTTTGCCCAGAACTAAAAGTTCCTTCTTGGGGTGGTTGAGCTGGGGGTGGTGTGAGGTGGATGGGTGCAGAACTGGAGCACAGGTGCGGTGTCCGCCCTGTGCTTAGTGGTTGCTACCTGAGAGATCCTAACGTCTCTGCGTTGTGATTGGGGAAAGGATGCATTTTTGCTCATCCTTGCAGCCTGTCTGAACCACATTCCCTGAAAAAGGGGGTGCCTCACTGACTGTCGCTTTTACTGTCTGTCTTGGGGGTGCTCATCAAGGCTCCCTGGGTCTTGAGGTGGTTTCCACTCAAAACGAGAGCCGAGTGGTGATCAGCAGTGTCTCAGGAGCCAAACAGCCTGTTCAAGCACCAGCTGCACTCCTCCCCACAGAGCCAGACACCGGGCGAGGTTGAGTCTCAGCTGTGCCTCAGTTTTCCTCTTCTGTAAAATGGAGATAGCATCGTGTCTACTATGCTGCAAGGCTGTCACTGGGGTGAAATAAGGGAACAGAGACAAGGCACTCAAGGGGCCTAACTACTCCGTTGGTTTTTTGTTTGTTTGTTTGTTTGTTTGTTTGCCAGTAGAGTCTTCTGAGGTGGCTTTTCTATTTTAGCAGAACCGTAGGTGTTCACTGTTAAGAACTTTCACTCACTTCATAATGGACTTCTCTTCTTCCTCCTCCTTCTCCTTTTCCTCCTCCTCTTCCTCCTCTTCTTCCTCCTCCCTCTCCAAAAGCATTGCTGTCCCTGAAAAAACCCAGACTTCTCCCAAAACCGTTAAATTTAACCTGTTAGGTCAATGAATGTGGAGGTGGCCTTCGGGCTCCCCTCTCACAGACTGACATCACCCAGTGCTCTCTGGCCACCTCTTCCTGCGTGCATGCAAGACTGGGGGAGGGGAGGAGTTCCAAGACTACAGATATGTCAACACAGTCATTCAGAAATGAGCGAGGTATCCCTCCAAGAAGGGTGGACATCTGCAGAAAGTCCGACCCCTGGTCAAAGGATACATGTTTACAGTTAGAGGGGGAAGAAAGGTCCAACAGGTAACTGTGGTTCGTGTTGATACATTGTATATTTGAAAGTACCAGGGCAGTGGTTCTCAACCTGTGGATCACTACCCAGTCATGGTCCAATGACCCTTTCCCAGGGGTCGCCTAAGACCATCAGAAAACACAGATATGTACATTACATTTTACAACAGCAAAATTACAGGTATGGAATAGCAAGAAAAAGAATTTTATGTTTGGAGGTCACCACATGGGAGGATTTAGGAAGGTTGAGAACCACTGTACTAAGGAAATGCATATTAAGTGTTTGTATCACAAAATTATAGCCATGCCTGGTGATGTATTGCTAATTACATGGGCCAATTCCCCGTTGTGTACATTTATCCTACTGTATCTGAGGACTCTATATCCAACCATGAGGTGGGTTAAGATGTTAGGGGTGGGACTTGTCCATACTGAGCATGTCTAGAGACTTATTTTGTTGGGGGTTTATTCCATAAACCATCTAGTGTAACATCCATTTGCACAATATTGTATTGGGTAGTCTAAGTAATCAGTCTAGAGAGGATTTAAAGTATATAGGAGGTATCTTAGTTAGGGTTTCTGTCTCTGTGAAGAGACACCATGACCACAGCAACTCTTATAAAGGAAAAAAAAACATTTATTGGGGTGACTTACATTTTCAGAGGTTTAGTCCATTATCATCATGATGCGACATGGTGGCATGCAAGCAGACATACACGGTGCTGGAGAAGTAGTTGAGATTCCTACATCTTGACTCGAAGGCAACAGGAAGTGGTCTCAGACACCGGGCATGGCTTGAGCATATATAAGACCCCAAAACCTGCCTCCACAGTGACACCCTTCTTCCCACAAGGCCACACCTCCTAATAGTGCCACTCCCTTTGGGGGCCATTTTCTTTCAAACCAGCACAGGAGATGAGGAAAGAGATCAGCAAGAGGGAGACAAGAGAAATGAAGGAGGCCAAGGATTAGAGGGGAAGGAATAAGAATGAAATATGACATTTATGTATAAAAATGTCGTAATGAAACCCAATACTCATGTGCTAATTTTAAAACACAAACAAACTAAGCAGAGGCAGAGTTTTTCTTTCCTGACTGTTTGCTCCCAAATAACCAATACAGAGGCTTAATATTACTTATAAATGCTCAGCTGATAGCTCAGGCTTGTTACTACTAGCTAACTCTTAGACTTAAATTAACCTATAATTTTTATCTATGTTTAGCCATGTGGCTTGGTACCTTTTCTGAATATGACATTCTCATCTTACTTCTTTGCCGGCGACTCTCTGGCTCCTCCCTTCTTCCCATCATCCTTAGTTTGGTCGCCCCTCCTATACTGGCCAGTCAGCATTTTATTAGGCCAATTCAAGTGGTAAATCTTTACAGTGTAGAAGAGGATTATTGCACAGCAACCAACCAACCAACACAACAAAACCAGGGCTGAGAATGGAGCTCAGCTGGTAGAGTGCTTGCAGGGTGTGCAGGAAGCCCTGGGGTTGTTCCCCAACACCACACAGACGGTGCATGGTACACAAGCCTATCACCCCAGCACTCAGACCTGAAAGCAGGACTGGAAGTTCAAGGTCATCCTCAGTCACATAGGGAGCTTGAGGCCAGGCTAGCATACTTAAGATCCTGTCCCCCCTGAAACAACTATACAGCAGATATACAAATGCTATTCAATTTTGTGTAAGAGAACTTACACATTTGTGAATTTTGATTTCTAGGGTGTCATGGAACCAATACCTCATGGATAGTGAGAGACAAAATACCTTGTTTGCCATGGTTTATTTCCAACAGCCAATAGGATTGGAGTGTTGCTCCTCCTCGGAGTGATGGTAAAGGGAGAGGGTGGGACGTTTAAGAAGTAGAGTCAGGGTACTGGAGAGATGGTTCAGTGGTTAAGAGCACTGACCGCCCTTCCAGAGGTCATGAGTTCAATTCCCAGCACCCACATGGCAGCTAACAACTGTCTGTAACTAAAAGCTCTGACACCCTCACACAGACATGCATACAGGCAGAATGTCAATGCACGTAAAATAAAAATTAAAATTAAAAAAAAGTGGAGTCAGTGGAGGTCCTTTGGTTATTGGAGGCATGCGCATGGAGGTAGCTCTCATGGGGCCCCTTGGCCATTCCATGGAGAGAGTTGCTATAAGCTGAGCCTTATCTTCATTCATCTCTGCCTCCTGCATCCAGCTGTGATCTGTCGCTGCTGTCTAGGTTCCCTCTTGGTCACCTGCCATGGTGTCACATTTCTGAGAGTCCCCACCAAGACTGGGGAGATGCAAGCCTTGAACCTCCAAAACTGTCAATAAATCAGCA